TGTTACACCCTAAGATCACCTCTCTTTTAAATTTGAGAATAGAATCCATTTCCAGAACATTTGAATGACAATCAAAGAAGATGGGTGATATCAAGTTGTAGAATCAACAAACAAAAATTTACTTGCAATGTTGCACGTGTAGCCAAATTGAAACATCTAAGGTTAATGAAAATGGCTAGGAGGATGGAAGTGTACATTTTCCTCACCAAGATTCCTTAATAAAAGATGGAAAATTAGAAGGGTGAAGAAAACACCCTATAAGTACGTGGGTAAATGTGATCATTTACCTTGCAAATCCAAAATCTGCAATCTTTAAAACTGCACTGCTGTCATTTGCTGAGAGAAGAAGGTTCTGTTCCAGAAACAACAACATTACAAAGAGGGGGAAAACGTATAATCTCTTACAGCTAATTCCTATTTGATTACAGTAACAGTAAGGAAATAGTATTTATTTACGACCAGACTTTCCCTTTTCCTTAATAGGCATAAGTAGACATAAAGTTATATCCAAACTCAATTTGAACCACAGAAAATGAATTATACCTGAGGCTTTAGATCTCGATGTATAAGGTTATTGTCATGGAGAACTTGCAAGCCAGCCGCTACAAGATAATTATAGAAGCCTAAGAGACCAGATTCAGTGGTTAAAGAAAATAAACAGCCAGACAAGGTCTGCAGCATACCTAGTTGCTGCATGAAATGCTTTGCAGTTGCCTCAGGAACACTTCCATGGCGTGAAATATACATAGAAAGGTCACCCCCCTTGCAGTACTCCAATACAAGGTGTATCTTCCCAGGAACCTATTGAAACCGAAAAATAAATAAATAAATGAAGATGACCATATAATGGCTCATATAACAAGTAAAGAGAGAGAGAAGGAAATGGCATATCAACACTATCTTTAACAAGTTTAACTTCAAACCAAAAGTATATTACAAGTGACATTTTCCACTCCATGGATTGAAGGGCACAGCATAAAATTACTTCAGAAGAATGCAAAATATTTTGGATAGATATAAAAGCCGATGCTTCACAAACAAATACATGCAAAATAGTTTTTTCATTCAGTTTCCCTTGACCACTGCAATTTTAGCAATTGTTTCTCAATGATCCTTGAACTTCGAATCTCCTCTGTTAGTATTAATTGTTGTGGAGTGAGAGGAAAACACCATGAAATTTCATCTCATTTTGGTTTTCCAAATGGGAAAACATTATATAGATTGACTGAACATTCCACCATTCGTTAATTCATTCATTATCTGCGTCTATCAAATACAAGTATGGCCAAATAACTCCCTTTTCAATGGAAAGTCAGCACGATTTTTCAATCAAAAATAGATTCTTCTCATTTTAAATACCGTATCTTAAAATATCTTTTCCAAAAAAACATGTATCCAAATTCTCCCTTCTTTATCATTTTCCATAAAAGAACTTTCACTCAATAAATGGCACCTCAAATCCCAGTCCCTACCTTACACTTAAACAGCTCAATTTCTAAAAACAAATCCAAATAATTTCGTTTCCGCCACTCCTTCCTCTACTTTCTGGGCATCCAAACAACTCCTCGAAAACAAATAGCAAAACGAAAAAATTATATTAAAAGAATAAGAAACGAACCTCAATAATATCATGCAGTCGAATAATATTAGGATGATTAATTCTCTTCAAAATATAGACCTCCGACATCAAACTATCCTGCAACTTCTTATTGAGTCGACCCGTTGCTATCTCCTTTATCGCCACCTCGGTCCCATGAACTCGATGCCTCGCGTACCAGACAGTCGAGAACGAACCCGACCCGATTTGCCCGCCCACAAAATAGTTTCCTACCACTCTTCCCCTCCCCGTTGCTTGAGCCATTGTAGACGAAGCTGGAATAAAAGAGACAAAGAAAATCCCTACAATCCAACGCCAGAATTTTAAGCTTTAAAAGGAAATTAGTATCGAATGCTGGAATTTGGATATTCGGAAGATCCGACCCGTATTTTAATCAGATTTTCCGATTGGCCGCGCAAAGATAAATAATCTGATGAAGAGAGAGAGACGGAGGAGGGCGAGATAAGATCTTATTGATTAATGAGTACTTTTATTTTTTGAATTATAACTATTATTAGTTGAATTATTGAGATTTTAATTGGCATTAGCTAACGTACCCCAGGATTAAGTTTTCTGATTTTGATTGTTTTCGTGGAAACCACAAACTAAAAGCGGTATTAGACGGACTGCATGATTGTAAAATACGGTTGCTTATACGGTGTGAGCAGTGAGGTGGCAGGTTTTAACTGGGTGGTTTTGTGAGCAGCTTTGGGGTAGGTGATGGAAAAGCCGCCAAGATCTTTCCAACACGTGTCGACGAAGCGTTGGTTAGCTAACATTAAAGCGACTTTTTTCCGGTTTTTGAATTATAAAATATGATTACCTATAAACATTTTCCATAACAATATTTTCGTTATTAGGTATATTTAGACTCCTAATGATTTAATTTGATCTTAGTTATTATAAATTTGGATTAGATTCGATTTAATTTAAATTGAATATACTTCAGATTTAAAATAACTCGATCTGAATTAATCTAATATAAATTTGATGTGAATAATTTAGTTGTCATTTCTAAACATATTACTGATAAAAATTTTTTTATTATAAAAATGAGATAAACAACCGGTTAAGAATCATTATTCCAAGCATGCATTCATTTCATCCTCATGCAACAAGTCTACAATCACATGAAGTGGGGATTAATATGCACGAGTGCCTTCCATGCAAGTTTAACTAAATCATATGATATATTGTTTCTTTCTCGGGGAATATAACTAAAAGACAACTTTCATTCTCGTCGAAGTAGTTCTACGATGTGTAAAATCAAAATCAAAATATCCTCCAGAGTTGATCTCTAAATCAAAAAGAAAAAAAAATCATCCTTACTATCAATTTTCACGATACCAACCTCTATCGAAAAATTTTATGCAGTATTCAAAAACATACTCCATAACTCTCGATCAAGGACTAAACAATAACCAATTACTTCGGTAAACCCTATAGTTCATCTACCATTAGAGTCCCGCATTAGTTTACACTATACAAGTTTTTAATTTCACGAATAATATTCTATTTTTAAAGTATCAAATTAAATTACTAGTAGATTCAATTGATAAGTACATAATTTAGGGTAAACTATGCATTTAATACCTAAACTATTAGTTTTGACCTATTTTAGTACTTAAACTATAATTGTTTTTCAAAATAATACCTAAAATTTAGTTTTTATTTCATTTTAGGGCCCGATGTTAAGTTTTGAAAAAAATTAGAAGTCTAGGTACCAAAACACGTTTAGTACCTAAATCATACTTAAGTTTTGAAAAATTAAAAATTTAGGTACTGAAACGGATCAAAATTGGTAGTTTAGGTACTAAACACATCAAATTTTTAACGGCGGGTATTAAAATGAAACAAAAAGTAAACTTTAGATTTAAAAAAACTGAAAGTTTAGGTACTTAAACAAATCAAAACTAATAGTTTAAATACTAAATGCATAATTTACCCTATAATTAACTAAGTCTGAACAAATCAAAAGCATACTTTATCAAACTTAGAAAACAAAATCCAATGAAGAAATCTACATGTGTTTTATAAGTTAATTCTTAATTAAAGTTAAGTGTAATTGATTATAATTACAAATGTGTTATATTCAAGTAATTATTACAATTACGGTCTCAATTAAATCGGTGTATATAGAGTATTCAATTGTATTTTTCAATTTTTATATTATAAAAAAGAGAAGAATTATGCAAAATTAATATATTGAATGGTACAAAGTTATATTTACTGGAAAATATATTTTTTAATCAAAAAAAATTCATTGATGAGAGAGATTTACAATACAAGAACCAAAGCTCGGAACAAGCATAGATCCAATGTTCAAGAGCCGAAGTTATGTGCAAACAAAATCAAAGCCCTAAAAAGCTCGTAAACCTAAAGCCTGAGTCAGATAGCAAAGGAATATCCAAAGCTTGGATGAGGCCTCCATTGCCCATAAAGAACGAGCAAAGGAAGGCTCAAGCAAATACATTGGATGACAAACCATCGAAGTGATCAAAGTGAGCAGTGCCATTTTGATGCCAAGCCCAAAACAACAAATGTGAGAAAACTCAAATCAAGTAAAGGGTAAAGTACATAAACGACCCTTAAACTTTTAGAGTCACTAAAATTTTAAAACTTGAAAATAACCAAAAAATAATAACAATAATTTGCTTATCATTACAATTACCATCATTATTTGTATCTATTCTAAGTACTTTCAACCATTTGAAGATGAACTTTCAATTACCCTTGCAGTCGCAGGTACTTGAATCAGTGACCTCTAAGAACAACAATGCTTCATTTAACTACTGAGATAACTTGGTTCATGCTTGATTATAACAAATACAAGTGCAATATTAATTGAGTCATCCTTATCAATTTCTTGATTTTTCTTTCTCCTCTCAACTCCACCGTGATCAAAATAACTAACTCCTACATTTTAAAACTCAACAGGCAGAATAATTATTGATAATAGCATAGTAATTGTGAAGCTCCAGTCTAACGACATCTACCGTACAATTGAAGATGTACTCAAATCTTAAGCAAATTGATGTACATATAGGTATATATTATTTATAGTAGTATAAGACGATTGCTAGATAATATCAGTTCAAATTTGTTCTTAATCTATTTGACAACGTACACACAATGTAAACACAAATACTTGAACCCAAGTATTTTAGGAAAAATAACATTTTATTTTATCACTCAAGATACTCAATGCATTCAACCTATGTACATATTTTATTCATAGAATGAGTCACGAAAGGTGACCAGAACTGTGAGGCAATTCTCTCCACAGTTAGCCGCTAAGATGAGGCCTCCCCTTACGCAAGTTTTATATTTTTCTGTTCTGCCAGAGTATATATTATTGATTTTGGTTCTTAAGTATTAACTCTTCCATTATTGCCAGGCCTGTTATTCGTGGACGTCCATCAACTAAAAGAATAGTTCACATATGTGGTCGGCCTCGCTGGGTTTTTGCTGTCATATTCTCTTCTGGTATCAATAAGTTTGAGAAATGTTCCTTTTCTTATTGAAGTAGAATTAATCAATTTGCAGTTGAATATAGTATAAGACGTCTTATTTTAACATTCTTGTTACAGTAAGTTTCATCCTTTGGTATGTATCCTGTGGTCTCTTGACTGTGATATGGACACTTGCTGTAGCACTTCTTGGTAAGTCACCTCGTGTTTTTTTTTTCTCATTTCCAACCTTAAGCTTGTTATTGGTAAATTTAAATCTCTCTCTTTCAGCCATTCTCCTTCATGCATGTTTTAGAACACCGAACCTGAAGGCCCGTCTTAATACTTTCCGTGAGGAGTTTCGTGCAGTTTGGCTCAATTACAGAGAGCTATGAGCTCACAGTCTATATCATGTGAGTATGCATCCAATTTTTATGTTGATTTAGTTTATATTTGAATTTTATTAAGGTTTTCATTTGATTAAGAGTTTAGTGCTGTTACTCTTGTTTTACTTTTATACTTTCAGCTGTTAACCCGTTGTTCATGTTCACCTCTTTTATTGATTATCGAATATTGTGTATATTCACATCACATGTTACTCGTATATTCCATGATTGTGGACTTTCTAGTTCATTATCATGATGCACATGTTGCTTTAGCTTCTCCTTTAAATTCTCTTATTTATTTGTGTTCTCTTGTCCAGACATGCTTGATGTTATGATACCTCCGAATAATGCACTAGTTGCCGAATTTCTTAAAGTTTCATTTAGTGCTTGGTTTCCATCCAAGTAACTCTGTTATTGAAATGGAACTTAGTATTCTTGGGTTAAATACAAGTTGATAAATGCTTTCTTGATTAATAAAATAGGGGTACTCAAATGATTTGTCTTCAGCTATTGTTGATGACTTTGAGCACTTCCTTGAAGAAAATATGGCTCTAGCAACCCCCATTCCTGTCCCAAGGTAAAAGAAAAGGGAAAGAAACACTGAGTTGAATAGAGTTACGCAGATGAGTTATCCTTTGCTGTTCTTGAATGCTTTGATCGTCACTGCCATTGGGGTTTTACATGATGGCAGTACTTGGCAACTTTTTGCATGTGGTATTCAACAAGGAAAATGTTTACTTCTACAATATTACATCTTAAGAGTGGTTTTGGATTAGTTAGAACAATTTTTATGGACTAGATTCAAATATATCACTTTGGTTTACACCAGGTCTAGTCAAAATGCCTGGTCCCCATGCTGAATGATCGACTGACCAGACCCTTCCAAGTTGAATCTACCTCTTGAACCATTGACGTAGTAAAAGTTGGGAGAGCTACTTATTCCAAAATTTGATACAATTATCATTTCTGAACTCTGATGTATTTCTTCTCTTATGACTTCTAGCTTCAACAGCCCTTCTCTAATTGATTTGTGTTTAGTACATCTTCATGGAGTTCCATTTTATGATCCTGATTGTCGATGTGTGGTTTCAAGCTGCTGTTGAAGATTCTGCGAAATAATTTATTTAGCTGGGTTAAGATGAAGAAGGCTTCCAATCTTTCCATATAACGGACAAATTGTAAATTGCCTGGAGCTTTTATCTCTGTAAATCTGTTTTTATTCCTTTTCGGAGAGACATGGAGGAGTTTTATCAATGGCCTCCTTCCAGGAAGAAAAAAGGAAACACCGTTCAGATTCTTTGTTAGCAGGTACCTCAAATATGCTTAGTACTCTTGGATGGGCAAGGTAGCTGCTGATATTTTTTTAGCTTTACCTAGTTACTTATAGTAGTTTTAAACTGAGAATAGTATAAATACAATAAATTAGTATTAATTACTTTCAATGCCTTAATTTAATAATTTTTTTTGCTTTTAATGAAATTGTACGGAAACAAAATATTACTATAAAGTGTAGGTATAATTTTGGTTTTAACCATTTAATTGTGTTGAAATTTAGAATTCAATGTTTCTACTTCAAGTCGGCATTATTTCGTATCGAAATTGATACCAAAATAAAATGTGGAGTAAATAAGTGTGGTCGAATTTCATAAATAAGTAAAGTTAAGAAATCATATAATATGAATTAAATTAAAAATTCTAATAAAAAGTACTTATATCATAGATTTAATTTATGATTCAATTACTTATTTTATCTTAGGATTTTTGTTATTTGAATAAGAGGATTACAGTTACTTGAGACAACTTAATAATCTCACAGTTTCACATGGACTCACCTAGCATTATAAATTAAAAAGAGACGATCTTTATTAACTAACGTGGTGTTTATAATTCAAGCTAGATCTTATATCTATATAATTCGTTTTTAGATTATTTAACGACTTGGATTAATACAAATCAAGCAACCTCAGTGGTTAAAGGGATAGTTGTTATTTTGGGGGTTTCGAGTACGAGCAAATCTTCTGTAAAAGTGTTTGAGTATTTATTGTCAAATGATTGAAAATCTTTCGAACATGTATATCTTCAAAACACCCCGTACTAATAAAAAAAAAAACTAAATGGTGCAAAGGTCAGTACTTCCACAAATTTGTTTGAGCTCTGACTAGGCATTCAAAACTTTTAAGTAAATTTTTATACACCAAAGAAAGAGCATCTTAAAAGCTCCACTCAATGTGAATGACTATAACAGGCAGGGGATATTGATTCTTAACAAGTTAAAAAAAGCTTTAACCCACCCAAGGAAATGTTGTGGACAAAGTTCATGTGGTTACAGGCTGATACCTCAATGATTACTTATAATTGAAATGACTAAATATATCAAAGCTGAAATTTTGAAATGGCCAACAGCCACCTGCAGTGTACCCTCCGTCCACTGAAATAACTTGTCCGGTAATGTACGAAGCAGCTGGTAGGCAAAGGAATGCCACTAAGGATGATATCTCTTCGGGTTCGGCCATTCTCGGCATTGCTGTTCCGGCGATGAGCCTGCAGAGTTTCTCGTGATAATGTGCGTTTGTATTCAGATTCTGAAAAATTAAAACCAAATCAGCATAGAAAAGATATGTCTACAATTCTAGATTTAAGATAAAGATTAGAAGGTGAATTTACTGCTGTTTCGATCGTGGTTTTGACACCCCATGGTGAAACAGTGTTGGTCCGGATGTTATCCTTTGACCACTCGCATGCCAAGTTCTTTGTTATTTGGTTGATAGCTCCTGGAATCGCAACACAATGGTTAATCTGCAAGATTCTAGATAGCATCTACATAATAGATTATTCAATTAGACTGGCCGCGTTGGTTTCGGGTTGGATTAGATTCAAGTTATACAAGTTGAATTTCGGGGTCATATGGCTAGACTAGATCCAATATACAAAGTACAAACCTTTAGATGCTGCATATGCAGATAAACCAGGTAAGGCCACTGAACCAGCTACGGAGGAGATAAACACAATGCTTCCGCATCCAGATGCTTTTAGGAAAGGATATGCAAGTTGAGAAAGATGATAAGGAGCGTCAAGGTTTGTACTCATCACGGTTGTGTAGTCTTCCAGACTATGATCCTCAAAGGATTTGAGCTTTGTAATTCCTGCATTATTCACCTGAGGAGAAGCTAATTGCTTTCAATTTGAACCTGAAATGATTCGTACTCAAAATAATCTAAAAATTGATTGGATCTAAAAGAACAAATTCTTAGAACTAAAAACTACTTACGAGGATGTTCAGCTTTCCATCGAAAACGGAGGAGACAGTCTGCATAAGACTCTCTCTGAGATCTCTAGAAGAGAGATCACAGACAGAACCACTCACCTTAAACCCTTTGGTCTGCCATTCCTGCAACGTTTCATTAAGCTCTGTCTGGTTCCTGGAACATGTATGAACTACTGCCCCAAGTGCTGCAAGTTCTTCCACCACAGCAAATCTGACATAATACAATCATACAATCAAACTCAATATTCAACCTAAAAAGATTAAATTCACAGTTCAATCACTGAGTGCACCAGAATGAACTAAGACTGGTTATAAAAAATAAAAACAAAGAAGAAGAAAAAGATGGAGGTGGAACCCTATGCCTCTTGTTCCACCAGTCACAAGAGCTGTCATGCCCTGGAGAGACCATCTCTGATTCTTACAACCTGCTACTGCTCCAGCCATCTCACCACTGAAATTTTATTTTCTTCTTTCTTCAGTTCCTTGAACGAATAGAAACACTAAATAGTGCCGAATTTTAAAAGCTAAACACAAAACGTGGAGTAATAGTTTATTGCATTAAATTATTCATCGCCTACTGCCAACAGAAAAAGACAGCAGAGAGGTCGAAAACTTTCAGCTGCATGCTTTTTTTAAAATATATATATATTTCGGTTCAAAACTTTGCTCCTGGAAATCTATTTCAACACTTGATTCGCGAAATTTAATGGGGTGAATTGATAATTAAAAAGATTAAACTTCTAGATAAATCAGTATATTAAACAGTTTTGACAGTTAATAAATTGGTTCAAGAATACTTGACTACGATCCAAAATAGAGGTCAAATTCTTTTACTAGTCACCATACTATACATGTGTTGTAGATTTAAATCAAGTAGTAAAATGCATTCGGTTTTAGTCCCTAAACTTTTTGAATTTCAATTCTAATCCGAACAATATTATTAAACTACATAGATTTAAAATGATTAAATTGAAGAATAAGAATTAAATTTATAATTTATTCATAATATAGGGACTAATACAAGAATATCACAAAATCCCATTTACCATGATTTGATTCTTTTGTTACGAATCAGTTCGGAAGGATTCTAAAAACATAACATTTTTTATTCTTGGGGTAGAAAATTTTCACAAATTGTACAAGATGACAATATTAAAGATCGAATCGTCACATTTCAGAAAGCCAGTAGCATCTTTTACCTTGTTATTGGATGAAAACAAATTAAATTCAAATTGTGAACCCTTATTGTTTTATTTTTTATTTTAACCACTTAATTTTAAAAATTATATTTTAATAATTTATTTTATCAAATTATTATAAAATAGTCACTCAAACTTAACTCTCGTTATAAATATGAGATAGATCGATAATGTAAATGAAAACATAAAACTTCTTAAAATAAATGATCCGTTTTATTTGACCGATAGGTCCAAGTCCAATAAAACAAACATTTACACAATTAACAATTACAATTAAATTAATATATTTTATGATTAATTAACATTTTTTTTGCTAATTACATATTTAAATTGAATAAAAGATCTAAAATAGTAATATAAATAGAATAAGAATAGAATATCAAAATAAAAAATAAATAAAATTTCCACAAATATAGTTTCTTAAAAAAAACTTTGTTAATGAGCACTGTATTTTTTTTTTCAGTTCCAGAATATAACATATAATATGCATAATGATTAAGTTATAATTATGAGACTATGACATTATACCTAATGGGGTTGAGATCGGTGCATTTTGGTTTGATATCGTTTTTAATTTTTATTTTTATATTAATTTTGATAAAATAATTTTATTTTATAAAACTTAAATATTATTTTATAAAATTTGAAGTATTTCTCATAGATATTTTTTTTTGAAAACAACCTTTCAAATAAATAAGTAATAATTTTCATAAAAGATTTTTATTATTTAAAATACAAATTTTATTTTATGCTATATAAAGTAATAAATTAAATAAAAATAGAATTTGATTTATTTTAGATAAATGCAATTTTTTAGATTATGAACTATGAATCATTTTAATACTTCAGTTCGTATCATTTTTTTTTAATTTTACTAATTTCTTACTCGATCCTAATAGCCAGCTAAGTTCAAGGTAGAGTTTAAAATTAATTAATTATAAAAGATTTGCATATCTAAATTATTACATAATATAGCTGAAAAAAAATATTAGTTGAAAACCATATAACAAATGTTATATGATATTAGATAATATGCAACTGGTATCAAGCGTCACTCAATCGCTTTTATACTTCATTTGTTTTAATATTCCATGGTTAGCTGTTTAAACGTAAACATATATACATATATAGGTTGCAGAGCATACCCCTCTTTCACATATTTAATATTGAGGTGCTATTTGATTGCCGTTTTTCCAACCAACTTAATATTATTTTTTTTCTATATAGGTTAAGAATAGGCTAAATAATTATATTTCGGTACTCTAAATATTGTAAAAAATATAGAAAGGATGATATTAGTGTAATTGTTCTTAAATAAATAAGGGATATTTGTACAATAATACTCGGTTTAAGTTGAAGATTTTCACTCCAAACCCGAATTAGACCTCGATTAGACACGTCATTATCCTTAAAATCCTCGAACTCCAACTAAATTTTTCGATAAATAATCCTATAAGATCAAACCCGATTAAAACCCGTTGAGTTTGAATCTTATACCTCCTAAAAACAACACTCTCAGTTTAACTTACTATTTTAAAATTTAAATTGATCCAACTAAAAAAACTATATTGTAATCAAAAGCCTAGCTATTATGCAGGCCCAATAATTTAGAGTTGCAGTTATTGTGCAAAACTCCAATTTGCCTTAGGTTCAGCCTGGCAGTAATAAAGTTGTTGGTGACTTGGTCCAATAGTTACACGACACATTACCCAAGTGTGGGAGAACTTTCTGGGCTTATGCTCCGAAGACAATGGTGAACATAGGTTTGACCTTTCAGTTTTGCTTTCCATAAATCTGAGGAAAGAAAACTAGTGTTCCTTTCCACTATGCCATTTTTTAGAAGAAACGATCAGAGACTTTAAAGGGATTCGATATCTTCATCGTTCCAAAATCTACATCCAAACAACCATTCATCTTCCACGATGTTGGACCCTTTGAAAACCTCGAAATTCTTTGTTTCATCCGTCACCATCAAACCTGTTGATCTCTTAGTTTTCTTGTTCAAGACAACTCTAGCTATTTTCACCCTTGTTTCCATTTCTCTGTTTTTTCACTTTGTTTTCTCTAATCAATCTATTTGTCTCACTTCTACAATCTCCAATAATAACCAGCAACAAAAGTTCATTGCCGTTAATACTTCTTCCGCTCAGGCTTACGGAAGGACGAATTTATCCCACGTCCTGTTTGGCATCGGCGGCTCAGCCAAGACCTGGAACGAGCGACGCCTTTACTCCCAACTCTGGTGGAGGCCTAACGTTACCCGCGGTTTCGTTTGGCTCGACGACAAGCCTCCCGGCGGTGAAAACTTGCCGCCAACGTCTCCGCCTTACAAGATCTCCGAGGATACTTCCAGGTTCAAGTACACATGTTGGTACGGATCACGGTCGGCCGTACGGATGGCTCGGATAGTTAAGGAAAGCTTCGAGCTTGGATTGGATAACGTGAGATGGTTCGTGATGGGGGACGACGACACGGTTTTTTTCCTCGAAAATCTGTTGACCGTTTTGAACAAATACGACCATAATCAAATGTATTATGTTGGCGGGAACTCGGAGAGCGTGGAGCAAGACGTGATTCACTCTTACAACATGGCGTACGGTGGCGGCGGATTCGCCGTCAGCTACGCTTTGGCGGCCGAGCTCGTTAAGACATTAGACGGCTGCATTGATCGGTACGCTTCGTTTTACGGGTCGGACCAGAAGATTCATGGTTGCATGAGCGAGATCGGAATTCCGGTCACTAAAGAGCTTGGTTTCCATCAGGTTAACGTTAATCCTGCTGTCATGACATTAATGGTCTAATTCTGGTTTTAGTCCCTTATACTAATCATATGGATTGAATTATGCAAAATTAACATCTAATCTCAAATGTCATTAACTTGCGTAATTACAGGTTGAAATTTATAATAGGTGGACTAAAACCAGAATTAGATTCAAAGGAAACAATGTCATTAACTTGCTTAATTACAGGTTGATATTAGAGGGAACCCTTATGGTTTACTGGCGGCACATCCTTTGGCACCATTGGTGTCACTTCACCATCTAGATTACGTTCAACCCATATTTCCGGGTATGACCCGGATCGAATCACTTAAGAAGCTGATAACCGCTTACGAAAAGGATCCAAGTCGTGCCCTACAGCATAGTTTCTGTTACGACTTGAAGCGTAACCGGTCCATTTCAGTGTCGTGGGGCTACACCGTGCAGTTGTACCCGTATCTGGAAACAGCCAAGAAGCTTGAAACGGCGTTTTCAACGTTCCAATCATGGAGGACATGGAAAAACGGGCCCTTCACTTTTAACACCCGACCCGTGGAGAAAGACCCGTGTGAGAGACCCGTTACGTATTTCTGGGATCGTGCGGAGAGCGGCAATGGGGATAGGACCCTCACCAGATACGCAAGGCACGTTGAAGAGTCGGGCAAAGAATGTGAGAGGCTGGACCATGCTCCTGCTACGGGCGTAAAATTCATCGGCGTCTCCAGTGCCAAGTTGAACCCTGCCGTTTGGAGCATGGTGAGTAACTCTCCATCAAATCATTACTTTTTGTAAATTTTTAGTTGGCTAAACACAATTGCGGTGGCATCTTGTTTTCATGGGGTAGTTGGCTGGTATTTTAACTTGTTAAATGGGGTTTGCAGAAAAATAGGTGACCAATTTGGTTCCACTCACCACACGACACCGATCCATGGAATGACAAAAAAAATCAAATCTTGACTTGTGTGGGCTGCTCCCACCTTGTCGGTCTTTTATATATTTTATTAAAACCCTTCGGGCAACAAGGTGAATTTTGATAAAGTCTTGAGGCCTAAATGAGACTTTTCACCTTAATCTAAAAGGGTTAAAGTTTAGCATAACGCGGTGCACGTACAAAGCAACAAGGGAACGTGGGCTTGATTTTCCGCAATATCTGGTTGCCTTAAATTTCTTCGCATATTAGGTTGAATTTTTTATATGTGAATGACAACGACACATTTGGTTGTAATAAACAGGCACCGCGTAGACAATGCTGTGAGGTCATCAACGGCGGAGAAGGGGCGGACCACCTGGTCCAGGTCAAGATCAGAGGCTGCCATAGGTTCGAGACAGTGACTCCTCCGTAGAAAGTGCCAAATTAACATTGACCACAAAGGGTATATGGTCAAGGGGAATTGCCAATTGCCTACCGTGTAAATGAGAGATATTTCTGCAGTTGGATTTACCCCGAAGCCATTTTTGGCGATTTGAATACTCATATTATTATTTT